AATAATAATAATAATAATAATAATAATAATAATAATAATAATAATAATAATTGTCTGCCTTTAAAATGTTGATGGTTCTTTGGGTAAACTTGTGTATGGCTACCTTGTGACCTTCAATCACTATACTTTTTTTTGGAGAATTTTCTCCAGAGAGAGAGAGAGAGAGCGCTTGTGGTCTGTTGGGTCAATGTCAGGATTTGACTGTCTCGATGTTCTTGCTTCTCTCGTGGGACTTACATAGTACGGTCGAAATCAAAGGGACCAATGGAGTTGAAACGAAACTGTGTGAACCTTTTGTTGGAATGGATTCAAGACTCAAATTAAAATAGCACTTTTTCTTGTAATTTACTTTTTTTGCGTTTCTGCGAAGCGTCCCGAAGGCACAGTGTGACTGTGGGCCAGACCAGACAGTGTGAAAACACTTTCACCTTTACTTCTCCGGAGGTTTACCAATTTCCTTACGCAAATAGTGCGTCTCGTTATTTTTGTCTTACGTTTTGATTTTGTCAGCGGGTGGTTGGCGGGTGCTCTTGTGTGGCTTCCTCCTTCTTTTCTACCGAGCATCTATCGTCCTGATATGTCCTCCTACTTTGTGTTTGTTACTTGTAACACTTCAAATCTTCAGCATCCCTCGGGGCGGCGCTACTGACTGAAGGGTCTTTAGGCCATTCCCAAAAAGGGGACATTAACATTTTCTTTGCATAGTAGAATTGTAAATGGACTGATCCATCAATGCTGCAACGGGGAACTGCTGTCTTTTGTTCCCTACTCCTTACTATCGTCATTTTCCTCTACTTCTTTTGTATGTTTGTCACACTCTTGTGACATGCTATTTCCGGGATGCCTAGATAGTAGAAACAGAATTTGTGCTGTTGAAGCTAGAGAGGTGAGCAGGGTAAGCCTGATTCCCTTTATGGACTTTTCTTTTCCATCCCTTGGCGCCCATATGACCTTATATAGTTGAGAGCGTCGTAAAAACTCTACCGAAACCAAACTAAATCTTCGGCACTTATGCGGTTGTACTGTGTTCTAAGTATCGAAAATCACATACTAAAACCAAAACCTATTCTAACCCTCAAGGAGACTGACAATAAAATGTACAGGCTGGAAGATGTCCGAATGCCGATGACCGCCTGCTGTTTGCTTGGTCAATGACGATCCGGGCTTCTCTTTGTTCCTCCACAGATTGGTTCTGTCCCTTCCTGTCTCTGTGTAGATCTTTAACTGTGTCTCCTGACGTATGTGATTTTAACTATTTGTTTGACCATGTGATTGCCTATACCTTTTACCTTTTGCTCTCTCTCTCTGTCTCTTGCTCTCTCTCTCTCTCTCTCTCTATCTCTCTCTCCCTCTCTCT